ACCTCCCAATTTCAATCCGCTACATGCGGATGTAGGACCAGCTGGTTCTTCATCTCTGCCCCTCATACCATCCACTCTTGATGTGGCTGCTTCTTTATTTTATTTTTTTGGTTCATGTCCCTAGAGAGAACCGAACCTGGGGCTCTCTGGTCCACAGGCCGATGCTCCAACTGCTGAGCCAAACCGGCCAGGACGTGGCTGCTTCTTTAAATCCTTAGTTGTAGGACTTCCATTCAGCTAGGTTTCAGGCAGTAATAATGGTGGTTCTGTAGTTTAGTTATACTTCTGATGTGGTTGTGGGAAGATTTGAGTACCACATTTACCTATGCTGTCATCTTGACCAGAAATCTGTATATTCCTTTTAATATACTGCTGAATTCAGTTTGCTAGTATTTTGTTCAGGATTTTTGCATCCGTGTTCATAAAGGATATTGCTGTGTAGTTTTCTTAGAGTGTCTTTTTCAGGCTTTGGTATAAGGTAATCTGGCCTCACAGAATGAGTTAGGAAGTGTTTCTTCCTCTGAATTATTATTATTTTTTTTTTAAGTTTGAGAAGCATTGGTATTAGCTCTTCTCTAAATGTTTAATAAAATCCACCAGTGAAGTCATCAGGTCCAGGGCTATTCTTCATCAACAGATTTTTTATTACAGATTCAGTCTCCTTACTAATTCTACATCTACTCAGATTTTTCTGGTTCTTTATGATTTAGTCTTGGTGGGTTTTGTGTTTTGTTGTCTCTTTCATTTGGCTATCCAATTTGCTGATGTACAATTTTTCATAGTGCTCTCTTACAATCTTTTTGTTTTGTTTTTTTGTTTTTTTGTTTTTTTATCCTCACCCGAGGACATTTTTCCATTTTTTGTTCAGGTAGAGTGGGAGGGAGAGAGAGGAACAGAGAGAGAGAGAGAAACATCGATGTGAAAGGAACACATCGAGTGGCTGCCACCCGCACAACTGACCAGGGCCGGGGACAAACTGCAACCGAAGTACGTGCCCTTAGCGGGAACCGAACCCGGGTCTCTCAGGACCGCAGGCCGACGCTCTAACCGCTGAACCAAACCGGCCAGGGCTTACAATCTTTTTTAGTTATGTAAAATCATTGGTAATGTCCCCACTTTAATTTTGATTTTAGTGATTTGAACCTTATCTCTTTTTTCTTAGTCCATCCAGCTAAAGGTTTTTCAACTTTGTTGATTTTTTCAGAGAATCACCTTTTGGTTTCATTGATTTTCTCTGTTGTTTTTCTAGTCTCTATTTTGTTTATCTGTGCTTAATCTTTAATGTTTCCTTATTTCTGGCAGTTTTGGATTTAGTTTTTTTTCTTAGTTCCATAAATTGTAAAATTATGTTGTTTTGGAATCTTGTTTATTAATATAAATATTTATATACAGGGTGGAGCAAAGATAGGTTTACAGTTGAGAGTTTGTGAAACAAAATTTATTCTTGTATTATTATTTATTAATTATTCGATTATTTTCCATATGAACAGCTGTATATCTACTTCTGCCCCACCCCTGTATAGCTATAAATTTCCCCCTTAGCACTGCATTCAGTGTGCCCCATAAGTCTGTATGTTTTGGTTTTTTTTTTTTTTTTCATTTTCATTTATTTCTGAGTATTTTCTAATTTCCCCTGTGATTCCTTCCTTGATCCATTGGTTGTTTAAAATTATGTAATTTATTTTTCATAAATTTGTCAATTTTCCCATTTTGTTTCTGTTATTGTTTTCTAACTTCATCCTGTTGTGGTCTGAGTAGATACTTTTTATGATATCTATCTTTTTAAATCAATTGAGAGTAATTTGTGGCTTAACATATGGTCTATATTCTGGGTATATATTACTGATGGGAGTGACTTCTATCATGTTGCTGTTTGTTTTTTATATGCCTTGCAGCGCTTTTGTCCCTTATTTTCTACATTACTATACTTTGTGTTTAGTCAGTTGTTTGGTAGTGAAATCCTTAAATTCCTTTATCATTTCTTTTTGCATTTATTCTATGGCTCTTTCCTTTGTGGTTACCGGGAGGATTACATTTAACATCCATAAGTTATAATGTTCTAATTTGAATTTTTAACATCCTAATTATAATAACATCTAGAAACTCCACTCTTTTACAGCTCCATTCCCACTCCTTTCAGTTGGTCTCACAAAATTAAATCTTTATACTTTTTGTGCCCCAAAACATAAACTCATAATTATCTTAAATGCATTATTCTCTTAAATTATGTAGAAAAGAAAATGGGGAGTTACAAATAACTTACCACAATACTAGTTTTTAGATTAATAATTGTGTTTTTAAAAATATGTTAGTCATTTAAATTATGTAGAAAACAAAAAGTGGAATTATAAGCCATTGTTACAATAATACTAGCTTTCATAATTGCCCACCTATTTACCTTTATTGAGATACTTATTTATTCATATGGCTTCGTGTCACTGTCTAGTGTCCTTTTTATTTCATCTTGTAGGACTCCCTTGAGCATTTCTTTTAGGGCAGGCCTAGAGGTAATGAACATCCTCAGCTTTTTTTTTATCTGGGAATGTCTTAATTTCTCCTTCACTTTTGAAGGACAGTTTTGCTAGATGTAGAATTCTTGGTTGACAGTTTTATTTATTTTAGCATTTTGAATATGTCAGTCTACTGTTTTCTGACCTCCAATGTTTTTGATGAAAAGCATGTATATTTTCTTATTAAGGCTCCCTTGTATGTGATAAGTCACTCTGCTGCTTTCAAGATACTGTCTGTCTTTGGCTTTTCAGAGTTTGATTATAACATATCTTGGTGTGAGTCTCTAAGTTCATCTTACTTGGAGTCTGTTTAACTAATTAAATGTTTATATTCATGTCTTTCATCATATATGGGAAGTTTTCTGCCATTATGCCTTCAAATATTAACTAGTAATTCTTAATTATAAATCTTTCTGCATATGCATTTCTATTCCCCATGTCAATTTGCTCTTCTTAGCAACAGTGCTAGTACAAAGATCACATCTGATGCCCAGAAACCCTACTGCTCTTGACTTTATTACTCTCTAAAGCACAGGAAAGTTTAGTGTATTTAACAAGGGAAATATAGAATGAATTTAAAAAGTAAAATGTACCAGTTAGGAGTAGAGGAAACTACCCCTTTCTCATCACTCTTAAAGTGATATATTATGTCTTTCAAAATGATGCAAGATTTATTATTCCATAATTTAAACACTAATTATACTTTTACTGCTTTTTTTAAAAAAATGAAAACATCTTTGATGTATTACATGAAGTATATCCTATTGTAGGCCGAGTGGAAAACACAGGTTGCTGACAGAGTAGAAGAAGAAATTTTAAAGTAATGGAAGAAGTCAAATGATTTTATATTAAAGTTTGGAATATATTTCCTGTCAGCAAAAAGTGAAGATGTTGGTATATATGAAATGGAAACACACACACACTTCTTTATCCATGTATCTGTCAATGGACACTTAAGTTGTTTCCATATCTTGGCTATTGTAAACAATGCTCTACTGAATGTAGGGGTGCATATATCTTTTCAAATTAGTGTCTTCATAATCTTCAGATAAATACCCAAAAGAGGAATTGCTGGTCCATCTCTACTTTCATTCTATTTGTATCTTTGAATATAAAATGTGAAGTGTGTCTCCTGTAGATAGCATATAGTTGGATTTTTTTAATGCGTACTGTTTTTTTTTAAATATGTTTTTATTGATTTTTTTTAGAGAGAGGGAGAAAAACATCAATGTGAGAGAGAAACATCGATCGGCTGCCTCCTGCACACCCCCTCCCCCCACTGGAGATCAAGCCCACAACCCAGGCATCTGCCCTGACCAGGAATCAAACCAGGACCTCTCAGTCCATTGGACAATGCTCAATCCACTGAGCCACACCAGCTGGGCTAGTTGGATATTTTAATCTGACTTTTGATTGAGTTGTTTAATCCATACATACTGAATCTTGTGTTTTGATATAATGTTTTGAAATTTAAATTTCCATCAAATTAGCTTGCTGATGTTATTTTAATAATGCTAATATGTAACTATCATTCTGCATTTAGATCTCAAATCATCAATTTCCAACCCACACTTTACTGCATACCAATATTCTTTGAAAGAGCTGAGGAAGGCAAGAAAGGGGTGTTGAAAAGAGAGGCTCTCAGTGAGGAGAAGAGTGGTAGGATATAAGTGGAAGGGGAGTAATAGAAACTTCTCCTGGTTGTCCTTAGATTAACTGTGAGATATTTTGGTTAATTTCAAGATAATCCACTTCTAGACTTCAGTTGAAACAATCGTAAAGACTGCTTTTGTTTTTTGCCAAACCAGTCTATTTCCTTTTTTTTTCTTTATTGATTTTAGAGAGAGAAGAAGGGAGAGGGAGAAAGATAGAAACATCGATGAGAGAGAATATCGATTGGCCACCTCCTGCATGCCCCACACTGGGGATCGGGCCCACAACCTGAGCATGTGCCCTGACTGGGACTCGAACAGATGACCTCTTGGTGCATGGGTCGATGCTCAACCACTGAGCCACACTGGCCGGGCTCAATTTTCATTTTAAATTGAAAATCTCAACTGAAATTGTTTCACTAAACAGTTTCATAAATTCTACTTTTTTACCTTTCTTTCTTCACTTGGTACTCAATAGTAGCATTTCTGTTTTAATATACCAAAACTTATGAAGATTTACTTCATAGTTTGGCACTAACCTAATTAAATCTATCAAAATAGATACAGAAGTAATTTAGTGCAATGATTTCAGCATAGAATTGATTCCCTCTCCTTTCATAGATTAGAGGAGAATAGTTTTTAATTGAGCACAAAAGCATGTTCTCTCCTTTCTGTTTTGTTTGTATCTTTTAAAAAAGACTCTTCTAAGATTCCAGGTGAAATGATAATTGAGGTGGAAGTAGATATTAAACGGCTATGTGTCCAAGATACCAGCCTGAACTCTGGAAAAACCATTGATAACCCAAACAGTTATGCTTCTCATCTTTCTAATGGCCAGGATATGCAATACCAAAGCTTGATGTGAGCTTTCCATTGGAGCATAGAGAAGAGTCATGGGTGAAGGAACTACAAGATTCCAAAGAAATTAAACAATTACTTGAGTCCAAGATAGGTAAGTAATTGTTCATTGATACTAGAGAAGAAAAAATAAAAGAAAGATTCATCTTTAATTAGGGTAAAGAGTTTTGGATTCTATTTAGGAATTTCTATATCCCTACTGGTGGTTTAATATAACTCTTCATTTTTCCTTGTGTTCTTTTCTCTGTGGGACACAGTGACATCTGTAGTTTCTGTTTCTTCTCCCAGGTTTTGAGATTGGGATAGAAAATGAAGAAGATACTTCAAAACAGAAAAAACTGGAAAATATGTACCCATTTCTTGTCACTTTAGAGGGGAATGCTCTCCATGGTCCCATTTTGCAAAAAGACTATGTACAGTTAGAAAATCAATGGGAAAAACCCCCAGAGGATTTACAGACAGATTTGACAAAAATTGTAGATCATCGGAATCCCTCAATAGGAGAGAAGTCTGAGAGCTCTAACTTGGAAGAACCTCTCAACCCTAGAACCCATAAGAAAAAGAGTCCAGGAGACAAACCTCACCGATGTTCTCAGTGTGGAAAATGTTTTGCCCGGAAGTCACAACTTACAGGGCACCAGAGAATTCATTCAGGAGAGGAACCTCATAAATGTCCTGAATGTGGAAAAAGATTCCTTCGTAGTTCAGATCTTTATAGACACCAACGACTTCATACAGGGGAGAGACCCTATGAATGCACTGTGTGTAAAAAGCGATTCACTCGGCGCTCACACCTTATAGGGCACCAGAGAACCCATTCTGAAGAAGAGACATATAAATGCCTTGAGTGTGGGAAAAGCTTTTGTCATGGATCAAGTCTTAAAAGACATCTGAAAACTCATTCGGGTGAAAAACCTCATAGATGTCACAATTGTGGGAAGAGTTTTAGTAGACTGACAGCTCTTACTTTGCACCAGAGAACTCACACTGAAGAGAGACCTTTTAAATGTAATTATTGTGGGAAAAGCTTTAGACAGAGACCAAGCCTGGTTATTCATTTAAGAATTCATACAGGGGAGAAGCCATACAAATGTAGTCATTGTTCTAAAAGCTTCAGACAGAGAGCAGGCCTTATTATGCACCAAGTCACTCACTTTAGAGGACTTCTTTAAGAATTATTAAAGTAAACAGGACATGCAGAAATTGGCACTAACTCAAAACATCTTAACCTGAAGCAGTCTGTTTGTCTTGGAGGAATCTTTTTTGTTTTTGTTTTTTTATTATTTAAAAAACACATCTTCCAAGGCATGTAAATTCTAGACTGTCTACCTACTCTTGCAACTTTCCTAGATTTGATGTATTCTATCTTTATAACTCTTATTTTTTTTTTTAATGAAAATGAAAATTTTTGTGTCCTAAGCAAACCATATCATAGATGAAAGCATAAAACATATAGGGTAGGGTCAATATAATGGATCACCATGTCTATTTGGCATATATATTACAGCAGCACCATAATTATTGTGCTGTCATTGTTAAAGGTGGTTATGTTAGTTTAAAATTTTGTGTCCCGAGTGGCAGGAAAGGAGACAGTGTATTTTGTCAAATAAAGTGTGTCAGGAACATATGGATGAAGAAGATTTCATTTGCCTCATTCAAGGACTGGGTTATTTCAATTGAAATTTTTTTATGTTTAAGAAATTAAGATTTTTAACCTTTACTTTTGAATTTCGCAAAGTTTACTAATCTGCTTATTTGGCTGTTTGGGGTAATGCCGCTTAGAACTATTAATTTAATTATTTATTTCTTCCACATGAGTAAGCTCTATGTGGAAGAATCCATTTGACAGTTGAAGTCATACAAGTAGAATCTAATTCAAATGTGATTGAGGAGCCAGTGTTTGTTGCTTTTTACTCTCCTTTGGCATACAAAAATATGTCTCTCAGTGCTTTTGAAATTTTACTCCTTCATTAATTTGGTATCTCCGTAAGTGTGTGTCATAGAACGCTTAGTTTTAAAAGATATTCTGCAAATAAGTTTGGGAATCCCTTCCTGCTGTTTCCCTTTTCTAGATTCACAGTGCACATCAGCATATGAGAATCTCTTGACAGGTCCTTCAGTAAAGGAAGAAAAAGCATCTCTGTTGGCTCAGTGTTTTGACCCTAGAACCCTTTTTCATGTACACCCGCAGAACTAGTATTCTGCGAATATTCCTTGGAACACATTGCCTTTAACATATATTTCTATAGTTATCAATATAGTCTTGTTAACTCCTAAGCCTAGTTATCGCCAGTCGTTTGAAGGGTGTTATGAAAAATTCTTTACACGTACTTGTATTTTTATGTAATACACAAATAAACATGCACATATTTTAAGGAGGTGAGGCTCACTAATTCAGATACTTTATAAGTTGCTCAGTGATTCTCAACCTCTTTGAATTTTACTTATAATCACATACACGCACATCGTTGCTTATATAAATGTTCTCATATAATCGTAGTAATGACTCAAACTCCTGTAGGAAGGGAAGAACTCTCTTTGTCAGTTAAAGCTGTTAGTACATGAAACTATTCATTCAGCCTAGATCCTTGTTATAAAATAAAAGAACTAGGACATTGAAATATTCTACCTTTCTGAAGATACCAGTCATCCTTTCCTTAAACCAGAATTGGGGAAAGTATATTTTTCGATTCCACTGAAGTTCTTGGAAGTCATATTTAATATAAGTATTTGGGGGGTGTCTACTTGTGCCTAACTAGTCCTGTTTTAGGCTTAATGGAAACTAGTAAATAAATTAATTCATTGGTTAGGTTCTTAAAGAGTTTATTATATCTGTAGTTAAACAGAGTTGGGAAACAATTGGAGAACAATGCAAGAGAGTTTGTATCAAGTGCCAAATCATATCAAGTGCTAGAGCCAGGATGTGTCTTTAAATCTTGTCATCCCAGTCCCTTTATGATGCTGCTATAAATGTGGGGTTAAAATTTAGATCCTAGTAGCAATAAAATGTAACATGAGAGGAGTCTGAATGTAGAGATGAAAAACACTGAATGTAATGGCTTCTCTTTTCTCTCTTGTGGAATTGCATTCCAACCAGAATAGTGCCTTAGAATGGATGTCCCCAACTGCTCTGTATCTATGCAATATTTTAATAAAGTGGAAATCTATATGTTCTTTCTGCTTCAATCACATTAACTAATTGTTTGCACAACTTAGAGCTGCTTCCATGAGCAGTGGCAATAGGCACCACAATTGACTCCTGCCCCCTACCCTAAGCTGGAATCACTTTATTCTCTGCAACCATGATGCTGGGTTTATGCATCAGTCCATTTTTAGCTAGTAGGGTTAGTTGTAGTCATATAAAATGAGCTACATACTATTCCTCATCCGTACAGGGTAGAGAACATTCATTATTTATTTGGCACTGAATCAAGAAATACATGAAATAGTTCTTGGCAAAAGAGATCATAGAACATTATGTGGATGTCCCTAACTTTATTTCAAAAAGATAAGGGCAAAATACAGTACCTACTTGTCTCATAAGTTCTATGAAGAGCAAAAACAGTACCCACCTTATAAGTACAATGAAGATTAAATGAAATATATTTTGTTCAGGCTCTACACAGTGTAGCTTTCAATAAATATCCAGCATATTGTATTTTACTCTTTGTTGTTTAATGATAAAAGCATTTAAGGCTATAGACTTTCCTCTAAATATGGCTTTGGTCACATTCCATAGTTTTTATATAATGTTTGTATTAATCAGGATTCTCCAGAGAAAACTGTGTGTGTGTGTGTGTATATATATATATATAAATATATATATATATATATATATATATATATATATATATATAAATATATATATATATATATATACACACACACACATACACATAGAGATTGATTTATTATAGGAATTAACTTATGTGGTTATGAAGATTCAGAAGTCCCATAATATACTGTCTTCAAGCTGGAGAAAAAGGAAAGCTGACGGTATCCTTCAGTCTATAGTCCAAAGATCTAAGAACCAGGGGATCCAATGGTGTAATTCAGCCCACAGCCTGAGACTGGGGGGGGGGGGGTGTAAATCATGAAGTCTGAAAGCCAGAGAAGCAGGAGCTCTGGTACCTAAGGGCAACAAAAGATGAAGGTCCCAACACAAGAAGTGGGAGAATTCACCCTTCTCTGCCTTTTTGTTCTATTCTGACTCTCAAAGGATTGAATGATGCCTGCCACATTGGTGAGGACAGACTTTACTTTTATTAATACTTCCTCTGATCCTAGAGCTGTATAATATTGCCATTTTCCACTTAGTTTTATTTTGCTGCATTGTGATTAGAAAATGAGTTTCATTCTATTTCTGCTTTTAAAGTTCATTTAATGTTTTAAAGATATATTTGATAAAATGTGCTAAGTATCCTAAAGACCCTAGAAAATAAGGATTCTATTTGTAAAGCACAAACTTAGAATAAAGTGTTGGACCTCTCAATTAAGTTAATGTCTTTAAGAGTGTCCTTGGTGCTTATGAAGGGGTGGTGACAGAATAGATTGCCTTGCTCCCCATTCTGAATACCTACATTCTTGTATTCTCCATTCCCCTCTTAAGAGTTTTATTTTTAATCCATTTTATGGATGTTTTATAGCAATTGTTAATAGCTTCCCAGCTATCAAAGCTGGCAGTTAATGCTGGAGGTTAGGAGAGACCTAGCCTCTCCACAGCAGGCTGAGAAAGCTCTCCCTTGGGATTCCATAGTGGTCTATCCTGAAAGCAGAGAGAATCTGCAACTCTGTAGCAGTGGTCCTCCTGTATTCGCAGGGATTGTTTCACAGTGTGCTGAGGAAGTTGTCTAGGGTAAAGTCAAGATAATCAGAGAAGAATCAGGCGAATCAGCCACCAAGTGGCTCACCATCAGGTCAGGAAGGAGAGACATTACACTCTGCCCTTTTGCACCTGCAGTCACCATGACATTGTGAAGAGAAACATTCTGGGAACCTCCAGGAAACTGCATGATCTTTGTTCCTGAAACCCTCTCTCATTTCTAGCCTAGTCATATGGGCTAAACATTCTTATAAAGAACCAAAGCTCACACTTAAAACTTGGGCAGCTCCTACTTTTTTCTAGTCCTCTGTGATAGATATAGAACAGATGGGAAGGCAGCTCATCTCTTATGCTTTCCTCAGTATTAGTAATCTATTTACTCAGCCCCCTGGTTCTGGAATTCTAACTACTGGGATTAGGTGTGGTGGTAGATTATTTTCTCACCAGAATGATGTATAGGTTAGTCTCTCTCCACCCTTTTCCAGCTTGCATTGTCAGACAGGACTTCCCAGACATCTAGCAAGACCTAAGTTTACATTTTTAAGAGTCCAAAGATATTAAAATGCTGTAACTATTTATTCTGAATGAGTGAAACCCATCTCAATACCTAACAGACATGATTCACTGATTTTCAAAACCAAAATTTTATTACCAAGAATTACCTGGAAGCTTGATAAATATATTAGAGAACCAGTTTACATTTAAAAGATATATGATTACTGAATCACTGAAGAATTTCTTTATATTTTTATTTTAAATAAACAATATAAGTAGTCCATTTTGACTGTATGCAACCTCCTACTGCTACACTCAGAATTTCCTTTCAACAGGGCAATGGCATTCCATTCATTATCTTCCCTCTCCTGGATACTCCTACCACCATCTTCACCTTTCAACATAGCCTGCATTTTGAAGTGCTACGTCCTGAGGGGAAGAACGTCCAGGATGAAGAATACTCTGTACTTCATGCCAGACTTTTATGTTTCTTAAAACACTTGCTTCTTCATATACCCTTTCAAAACAAAATTCCTTTACTCTCCAGTCTTACTGAAATCCCTGCTCTGACTCCTACATAAACTGACTCCATGCTTCTAGAGAAGTGGAAAGTGTGAAATAGAGAAAGTAAGCCACCCTTCTGAATGCAACTTTGGCCTTATCCCTCAACTGCTCCAGCTGCTGAAGAATTATGGAAGTAGAAAAAAATCTCTCTCTTGTGTCTGCAACACCTTGCATAACAGTGATGAATTCAAACGCAAATGCTCCCTCTATCTAGCTCAGCAATCTTCAGGTTCCATATAGACCTCCTTCTTTACACACTGAGTTCTGAACAATGGAATCTCCAAGCTCTGGAGTCTAGTTTCCACCTAGAAGGCATTATCTCAACTTTCTCACAGCACTATATTTTGATTTTCCTTTTTAAAGACACCTGATGTTCAGTGCAGTAAATTTAACATTGTGAGACAAGAATTATAACATTGGATAGGGTGTTACCAAACTTAAGGGGTTTGCCACTTGGGGTGTTCTACTCAAGAATGAGACGTGGCTGTCATTAGGTAGTTTTATTTACTTGCAACAGGTAAAGGAGACAAGGGATTCACATCCAAAGCTCTGTATCACTGAAGGGAGGCTTAGCCATTGCTGATATATATAGTACTTGCTTAAGTACATGTTGATTTCTTCTTTTCAGTTAGCTAAACTTATCCAGTTGCAATTCCAGTCAAGCTCATCGGTTTCAGCTGCATCTGCAAAATACTGTACTACATTTTAGCACTTAGCAAGAATAACGTTTTATAAGAACCACCCAGACCTTGAGACTTTTGTCCTATCTAACAAGGAGACAAGAAGCATTACAACAAAGACTCCAATAAAGTTAGTGCCCAGTGGTTGGCATAAAAATAATGACTGCTACAGGTCCTGGTGAAGCAGAGAAGCCAGCTTCACAATAGAGG